CCCCAAAACCCCAAAACCCCAAAACCCCTAAAGAGAGACCTGGAATTGAATTCAAGCATGACTCAAACCTTTAAACTCCTTAAGTTTCAATTACAACTTTTTGAAACCCATTTTCATCCATAAGAGTTCTGATACATTTCTCCCCAAGACATGACTTCTTGATTACCATTTTAGCTAACTTTTCTCTAAAATCTTCAGAGGATGCTAAGCCTTGTATTAGATTTTGGAGTTCATTAAAGCTCTTGCTCCAGTCGCTCGTAGTGACTTCATCTCATCTGTTTAGGCTAAGGTGTTGGATTTGGGATAACTTTAGGGCTGAAGAGAAATCTGGGGCTGTGGGAACAGATAGCTTTGATCTGTAGAATATCAGGGCTTTTACATGCTTGAATGCAGAGAAAATTCTTTTGAGTTGTCTTTCACTGATTTTGAAGGCAGCAAAGCACATTTTGTGTGTGATTTTGGGAGCAATTTTTATAAATTCAGGAAAGTAACTTTCGAGTGGGGTTAAGTTCTCTAGTCAGATCAAAGTTGTGTGTTGTACTTGTTTTGGGTATCAATTATTGAGGAAGGTAGCTATATTCTTACTTCTTTTAGGAAGCAAATTTATTGTAATCGATGAGATTTCTGGGATAGTAAATGGGCTTAATTTTGTCATAAATTTGATATCTGAGAATCCGAGAGTATGCAAATATAGTTCTTTATCTTTATCAAATTTTAATGCATATTTCATGTTCAAATGAACTTATCAACATATATTCTTATCCAAAATTTCAGACTCTTCAAATATTAAACTTTCATCTATTTCAGGTTAATGAGTTATGCTTTAAAATTTAGATGAAAATAAAATCTTACTATCGCCTCTTAAACAAATAACAAAATTATTTAAATTTACTCAAGCAAATATCTAAATTCAACTTTATTGAGAAAATTCAGCATACCCAAATAATTATTTTTCCTTCCCACTCGAAAATTTCACTCAAAACCTTCCCTCAATAGCCCAGCCCAAGCACAAAAGCCTAATCGCTCCATCAAGCTTCTCTTAACCTCTGCTTTGTTCTTTACCATAAATTTCTCTGCCAAATCGCCCAGTTTCCATATTCCTGGATTTATTTTATTTTAGAAGTATTTATATAAATAAAAAGAAAAGATTTTTAAGGGGTTTTGGGGTTTTGGGGTTTTGGGG